ATGTTGAAGATCAGAATAAGAGGAAGGAAAGGAAAAGAAGAGGTGGGGAGAGAGATGATGATGAAGAAAAGTAAAATTGAAGGACATTTACTGAAAGGGCCGCTGTGTAATTGAGAAGATTTGACAAATTTAATATCGAGTACAGGTTACAAATCAAATATAAACATATAAAAAATAAATATAACGATTATCTAATCTAGCAAGGACCTATATTTTTATGTTCAAAAACACATGCGAATACACACATACACAATAACATATACACGTATATACATACACATAGGCGTGTACACACATAGATATACCCATGTACACACATATAAATATATCCACATAAATATACACATACATACATACATATATATATACATATACACATATACATACATCTGGTTCAACATGTTAGCTCTATCTCTGATACTGAGCGCTTTCTAATAAGTACCACGCCTATAACATACAAATAATTACACCTACATATATACACACACACACACATACCCATGTACTCACATATAAATATATCCACATAAATATACACATACATACATATATATATACATATACATACATCTGGTTCAACATGTTAGCTCTCTCTCTGATACTGAGCGCTTTCTAATAAGTACCGTGCCTATAACATACAAATAATTACACCTACATATATACACACGCACACACACACACACACATATATATATATATATATATATACATACATATACACATCCACCTATATCCATATACACACACTTTTCACATACATATACATACATACACATGCACACATACAATATATATATGCACACATACATACCCATACATATAATATATATATATATATGTGTGTGTATATATATATATATATATATATATATATATATATATATATATATATATTCCTTGGTTCCACAAATCCAAACCATCTAGGACCCGTCATGCCCTGTGTACTAAGCTGACTCATTCTCATACCCTTTGTATTTCATTAGTGAGGAGGAAGTTCCACTCAGTTTCTGTCACAGAATTACTGCAATTTGACTGCCAAGGAGGTGCTTCCCCATTCACTTTATTCTTAACTTCAAGTCTAGAGTCAACCACTAACTATGCTACATATTCTCATAATATGCACCTCTTACTACCCACTCCACTATATGCTCAAACAACACCCCTCTACCTCGAGTGCCTCTTGGGCTTTGTAGTGGCTGAACATTTTTTTTTAACCTAGTCTTTAACAAGACAACATGCAGTTCCATAATCTTGTTGGATATCCAGGTATCATAAGTTGGGACTACTGGTCCACTTAAACATGTTATTGACCAGTGACCACTGTGTTGCATTACTTCATTTGCACCCATTTATTGGCTCCTTATAGCCCAACAATGAGAGATCATTCCAGCAGGTCATTGGTCCCCAGTTGCTTGGAATTGGCTTGAGGAGCATTCTGGAAACTTGACTTATTGTATGGACACCATATTTGTCCTTCATCATCCTAAATGAGTATTTATGGAAGATAGTGGAAAGGTCTATTTACATGCAAGATCCTAATACTTTCCATGGACAGCATGACTCAACATTTCTAAAGAAGACTTTTGACTATTTACTAAACTTTGTCAGGCTAGAGAGGATCCTGCATAATACTAAACACTTATTACTATTGACACATTAATGTATGGCTTGACAAATGATTCATGATGGCTTTCTCTATCTTAGAGGACATTTATTGCTTTTCATCAGCATGGTTGATGCTAACATCCAGGTGAGTGACTCACTGCACTTTCTCAGGCTAATTCTGGTGACATGAAGTGGAAAGATTATATTGAATCAATTGCTAGGTCTGCTGCTTGGAAAGTCGGTTCACCATTTTGTGCTAGACAATTTTTCTCTCCTGAATCAAATCTCCACATAAGTCTACTATTCGTCCTTGCATTGAATATTACTGGTGCTGCTGCTTTGTATTTAGGTACACTTTGATAAAATCCGAAGAATCTGTAATGTTATCGGTCCGCACCTGCCAAGCAGTTTATCTATGTATTATTTGCAACTTTATGTATAACCATTCATCCATACCTCAAATATTGCTGCTATATATGGTCCAGTGCTCCTGATGTATATTTAGAGATTCTTGATAAAATCTAAAGAATCAGCAATATTATTGGTCCTGACCTGGCATCTCAGCTTCAGTTACTCAAGGTAGTGTTATTCTGTGAGCATAAGAAAGAGCAAGAAATGAAGTTTATGGGTTTATGCAGGAAAGAGGACAGTTAACCCAAGACTTGAAAAGGTCAGGATTGTACTGATTGGGAAAAAGTCCTGCCAAGAGTCTGTACCACAAAGCATCAGTTGGGGAAGCTGTCCGAATGGAACTTAGTTCTGACTAACAGAATGTGATATCTAGTATTGTTCTTTATAGTACTGCTCAGTTATTGCTTGGCCAGTTTCTGCTGAATGTACTACCCAGCCCAGGGATTGAACTCTGGGATTAGTCCAATTGTAAATAATGTGGATAATAATAAATCATACTCTCAGAAATTCAGACCAAAATTTTACAGACAATACATATTCTACTTGGGAGGGGCAATGTACCATGGAGCAATGATTATCAAGTTAATGTAAAATTATTACTGCTAGTGAAGTGAATCTGATCCTGAATGAGCTTCCCCACACTCATGGTGATACTTTCTGAAAAATAAAGATCAACTAACATGTACAACATGCCAAGCTGCAATCACAGTGAAACATATTTTACTTGAATGTACTCACTTAGCCCCTATAGGACAAAAATACTACAAGGAAACCAACATGAGAAAACTATTTGTGTAATGAGTTGGTCGGTCAACTTGACACCCCCAAAGTGAGTGGAGGTGGGCAGGCGCGGGAACTGTGATTGGTAGCTGGCTTGTTGGTGTTTTGCATAGGTGAGTTACCAAGCTCTATGTAAAGGGCTGGAATGAGAAGGAGGGCAGTTTTTTCAGTCTCAGAAGTGGAGACTGTGTCCGTCGCTACAATAGCAGGAGAGAAAAAGACGAAATCATTTATTTTTTCGTGACACATTCCAACACAATTTGTAAATTCTGAAACTGCCACCATAATGACAGAAAGAAGTAGGTTTATACTAAAACATATAACACCTGCAAAAGACCATCTACAAACTATATATATCTATAGCTGGCCACTCGTATTCAAGGATACCTGTCTGCTATGGCAGCTAGCCAATCCCTATCGCAGACACTTGCTCAGGCACATCTGTTTTTATTCAACACCTACAGAGCCCACCTGTTTAATACTGTGACTATGCTGAGCAGACTTTAGTTACAGTTTCTGGGAAAGAGTGTTATCTAGCATGATCAACAATTTGAACCAGGCCAGTACACTCGAGCCGTCGGGTACGATGGCTTGTGACTTTGTGCTAGCACAGCTATCGATGGCACTCAAGGGTTACATTTACCCAATTTCACTCACAAGGCTTAGGTCAGCCCATGGTATGGTTTTCAGGCACTTTACAAAGGTGCCACATGCTGGGATCGACCCCTTCCATCTGATAACATCAGGAAGGCTGCTTCCTGACATATCAACCATGATGAGGTTCGAACCCTGGGTCTCATGGTCAGAATACAAACATTCTAACCATGCTGCCACATGCCCATTAATCTATATATCTATAAAACATATATAAAAGTATAAAATGGCTCCAGTGAATAAAAGTAATCCGGTGATTTGACCCAAAGAGTTGAGAGTTCAATACCTGTCCACAGCAGAGGTAAATAAAAACTTGGAGAGTTGTTACTAAAGGGAAATAACTGAAACGGAGATATCCAGAAAAGGCATGGCATGTGGAAATAGAACAATCTACCCTGGTTCGGTTCAAAAGTTAAACGTATATCACCTGAAGAAGCTTGGAGCATACAACAGCTGAAACCTCAGAAATGTGACAAGATGAGGACAACGGTCTGAACAATGTAAATAGTACATTATTTACATTATTCGGACTATTGTTCTCACCTTTGTTGCCATATTTATCACAACATGTCGGCCGTTGTACGCTCCGGCCTTCTTCAGGTGGTTGGAATGTCAAACTGAACCCTTTATTTCACTCACTGGGGTAGACTGTTCTAGTTCCATGTGCCATGTTTTTAATGGATGTCAGTTATCTCCTGTTGATTTCCCTCTGAAAGTTCTCCACTGCCTTAACCAGGTATTGAACTCACTCTCTTTGGGTCCTGTCACTGGATCTAACCAACGCCTTTATCCACTGTGCCATGTGTCCTGTGTGACATTCCAACCACCTGAAGAAGGCCGGAGCATACAACAGCCGAAACGTTGTGATAAATATGGTGACAAAGATGAGGACAATAGTCCAAATAATGTACATAATATCTCATCTCAGAAATATAGACAGAAGCCATAAAATTGTGTACAAAATATTTATATTTCGACATTAAATAACCTATAAGAGTTGATATGCCACCAAACAAAATCAGTTAACCAATCGACATTCATGGTCTCACGCCTTATGACACTAATCTTCAATGTCTAGAGTCAATATCAGTAGACCATTTGTTTGTGTCGTCAGTTTGATTTTAAATTATCTATCGCTGTGCTGGATGAAACTAAGTTTATTAAACATTGCAACTCTGATCTATAAAAATTATAAAAAAAGATGCTCATTAGTTTAGTCTTTAATTTTAAGTAAAAGTTTACTCAATACAAGGCCCAAAAGCCACTTGAGGTAGACTGATTTTTTTATGGCTTATCAACCTTTTGCAGTTTATTTAAAGCCAGAAATTATTCTTAGGTTGTAAGATTTTTTTTTTTTTTTTTTCAGATAATGATTTACTGATATAAGTCCTACTAATTAACCCATAGCTGGAGAGAGAAGAGGTGGATTCATACCTTTCTAAAGGGTATTTGAATGTTAATGAATATAGCAAACCTAACTGGAATTGGAACTCTGTTCTCTCATTTTCAATTCTGAGCCATTACCCATAACACCACCCACACATCCAAGCCTTCATCACCTGGTATTCGCAAGCAGTTATCAATCTAGGTACTAACCAGGCTCGATGTTGCTTAACTTCAGTGATCATATGGGAACTGTTTCAACATGATATGGTCATAAGCACACTTCAGGTAGAGAGTGGTTGTATGGATGAAAGAGGTGGAACATAGGATAGATAACAATTGATACTAAACTTTAACAGGTTAAGATTGTAGTGTTCAGGGAAACATCCCCTCAGGAGTCATTTCTACAAAACAGCAACACTTGGGAAGAAGCTGTCTGAATAGAAATTCCTCCTTACCAATGGAATATGAAAGGAACAAGGATGATTTGCCCCCATTGTACATGACATGCCCTATAGCTGAAAGGTTGATCTCTCCTTATTCTTGCCAGCCTATGAGATATTGTTTGAGAGGCTCGCTGTATTTTATCAAAGCTCAACAGCTCTCCATTTCAAGCCTGACTCTGAGAGATCGAAGAGAAGAGTTTGAATTCGGGTTGAGTTCATTACATTGTAATGAATTCAGCTGAGCTGGTATACCCTTAGGAAAGTTATGAATCCATCTTTTCTCCCACCTCTACAGCTATGACTTACTGTATGTACTTGTACATAATTTTTTGTTTTTTTTTTTGTTTTTTTTTGCATGAAATTTAGCCCCTCCGGAAAAAAATTTACCTGTGTATAGTGCAATCAGTTACCAAAAATGCATGATTTTTAACATCTTCAAAAATTGTTACTCATGTGTAGTCCAACCACCTATTTTTTGCATAAAAAAAAACAGCTCATAAAACTATATATTTGAATATACACGGTAAATTGTAGGCCTTGTATATGATAAAAAGTAATGGTGTGTAGCATAAAGAGTAAGACCTGTGTCAATATTACCAGGAACGGGAATTCACTAGAGGAAGTGATAGACCGTTGTGGAAAAGTTAGTGCTTCTGCATTTGGATCTATCCTACGATTACAAAAGCCAAGGGGATGATGATGTATATGGAAAAATCATTATCTTAAAATAATTTAGGCAATACTCATAAAAAATAAATATTATAATCCAAAAATGTTTTGGCTTTAAATAACCCACAAAGTGTTGATATGTTATATAAAAAATAATCAATTTTAAGCTATGAGCCATAATACCAATTCATTGGATAGAGTATTCTAGATGAGTAGTTCTTATTTAATTAAATATGCATTTGATCTGCCAACAAATATGGATACTTGCTAACTTTAGCCTGATACAAGGTCAATCATGAGATGCTCAACAAGAGCTGAACTCATTACAATGATGTAGTGATCTGGGAAATGAGTTAGAAAAAGTTTGCTATATGTGATCTATCTATCTATCTATATCTCTATATCTCTATATCTATCTATCTATATCTCTATATCTCTATATCTATCTATCTATATCTCTATATCTATCTATCTATATCTCTATATCTATCTATCTATATCTCTATATCTATCTATCTATATCTCTATATCTCTATATCTATCTATCTATATCTCTATATCTATCTATCTATATCTCTCTATCTATATCTCTATATCTCTCTATCTATATCTCTATATCTATCTTTATATCTCTATATCTATCCATATCTCTATATCTCCATATCTATATCTCTATATCTCTACATCTATCTATATCTCTATATCTCTATATCTATCTATCTATCTATATCTCTATATCTCTATATCTATCTATCTATCTATATCTCCATATCTCTATATCTATCTATCTATCCTCTATATCTATATCTATCTATCCATCCATATCCCTATCCATCTATCTATCTATCTATCCATCCATCTATATCTCTCTATCTATCCATCTCTCCATATCTCTCTCCCCATCTATATCTCTATATCTATCTATCTATATCCCCCATATCCCATATCTATCTATCTATATCCACATCCATATCTATCTCCATCTCTATATCTACATCTATATCTCTATATCCCACATCTATCTATATCTCTATATCTATCCCCACATCCATCTATCTATATATCTATCTCCCATATCCATCCATCTATCCATCTATCTATCCCCATATCTATATCTATCCATCTATCTATCTATCTATCTATATCTATATCATCTATCTATCTATATCCCATCCCATATATCTATCTATCCATCCATCCATCCATATCCCACATCCATCCATCCATCCATCCATCTCCCCATCCCCATCCATCTATCCATCCATCCATCCCCATATCTCCCATCCATCTATCCATCCATATCCATCTCATCCATCCATCCATATCTCTATCCATCTATCCATCTATCCATCCATCCATCCATCTATCTATCCATCTATATCCCCCACATCCATCTATATCCCATCCATCTATATCTATCTATATCTCTATATCTATCTATATCTATCTATATCTCTATCCATATCTATCTATCTATCTATATCTATCTATCTCTATATCTATCTATATCTCCCATATCCATCTCTATCTATCTATCCATCTATCTATATATCTATCCATATATCCATCTATCTATCCATATCTCCATCTATCTATATCTATCCGTCCATCCATATCTATCTATCTATCTAATATCCATCCATCTATATCTCTATATCTATCTATCTCCATATCTCTATATCCATCTATCCATCCATCTCTATCTATCCATCTATATCTCTATCCTATCTATCTATCCATCTCCCCACATCCATCTATCCATATCCCCCCTATATCTAATCCATCTATATCTATCCATCTATATCTCTATATCTATCTATCCCTATATCCCCATATCTATCCATATCTATCTATCTATATCCCATATCCATCTATCTCTGTCTATATCTATCTATCTATCTATCTATCCATATCTCTATATCTCTATATCCATCCATCTATCTATCTATATCTCTATCTATATCTATCTATATCTCTATCCATATCTATCTCTCTATCTCTATCTCTATCCATCTATCTATATCTCTATCTATCATCTATATATCTATATCTATCTATCTCTATATCTCTATCTCCATATCTCTATCTCTATCTATATCTCTATCTATATCTCTATATCTATCTATATCTCTATCTATCTATATCTCTATATCTATCTATCTCTATCTATATCTCTATATCTATCTATATCTCTATCTATATCTCTATATCTATCTATCTCTATATCTATCTATATCTCTATCTCTATATCTATCTATATCTCTATATCTATATCTATCTCTATATCTATCTATATATCTATCTATATCTCTATCTATATCTCTATCTATATCTCTATCTCTATCTATATCTCTATCTCTATCTATATCTCTATCTATATCTCTATCTATCTATATCTCTATCTATCTCTATATCTCTATCTATATCTCTATATCTATCTATATCTCTATATCTATCTATAAAATTCTGTGACTTCTGTTAGTCTGTCCATCCATCACACTTTCTAAAATAGTGATACATTGACCAATCAAAACTAAAGTTTGGGGAGACGTGTAAACAGGTAAGGGGGTGCAAAGTACAGTTGATTTTTAACAGGGAGCATAGCTTAGTACAATACACAATACTCCCACTATTTTAAAAACAATTTAATGATTAAAATAACAAATACTTATTTAATAAAAAATGGAACATTGTTTTTTGCATATCTTTTTAAGTTTTTATATACGCAAGAATCCAATTTCCAGTTTGCCCTTCATTTGTGAGAATTATAAACAAATCACAAAGCCAAACACTTCAAAAAGTTGGAATTTAGTTCCAGAAAGAAATATTTATGCATGGCCTGTTGTATGTTGCATGTTCAAGAGTAAGAAATCCTAAGAATGTATTCTTCACTGTTAAAAAGGGAAAAAAAAGATATTCTTTCTAGAATTCCCCCCCCCCCGTCACTACATTTTTTTTTTTTTTTTTTTTTTTTGAGGTTACAGAAACATGACCATCTAGTGTGTTTATGTGGTTATCATCTTCAACCATTTCACCAATCAATATCCATTCGAGGATAGTCTTCAAGTCATCATCAACAATTGCTTACCATGAATTCCTATAAAATTAAATTATTAAGCCACAAAGTATGCTCTTTGTCAGAATATTTTTCGAAACAAATCAGCTTATTCAAATTTCATCGATTGGTCCGTGAAATTGAATGAAACATAGAGTTTGTAAATCTTGACAAAAAATGTTAGCAATAACTTCAACAATACTAAATACTGTGAGGATTTCAACATTAGTGTGTTGCAAAATATTCATGAAATGTTTGGATTGGATGAATTCTTGCTCTACTCTTTGGCAAAGTCAATGTTTGTTGCTTCAACTGGCTTGACTACAATTTACCAGGCACACAGTCCTGGAGGTAGACAATTTAACAATTGACTGAATGGAATTCTAATTGATTAAAATCGTAATGCAACCTCATCACAATATTTTGACAAGTATACCTCAGGCTTCTTATGAATAATCGAATCACCATAATTGAACTATTGTTTCTGCTTTAGGTTTGACTCCTGTTTACCAGGCATACAGTCGAGGAGGTAGACAGTGACTTAAATAAAACAGTTAACTAAATAGAATAAACTTAATTGATGAAAATTCTGATGCAACCCCATCACAATATTCTTACAAGTACCAGCATGGCTCCTGGAGAGCAACTCATTGCATTACCTTGATCTCAAGTTCTCCACTGACATGAAGTGAAGCAATTGAATCAATTGCTAGGTCTGCTGCTAGGAAAGTTGGTTTACTGTGTCATGATAGACAATCATTCTCATCAGAATCCATCTTGCATATTTTAAATCATTCATTCATGGATTGAATATTGTGGCCATGTTTGGTCTGATGCTCCTACTATATATCTTGTGATTCTCAAGAAAATCCAAAGAAGGGTTTGTAATTTTATCGGAACTGACTTGGCATCTTGATTTCAGTAACTTTTTCTCCATGACGTAGCTTCCCTCTGTCTTTTCTATGAATATTTCCATGACAATTGTTTTATCTCTTCCTTGGAACCTCAACCACATGAATTTAAGTGTACTACTAGATTGTCAAGTTGGTCTCATTGGTTGACTGTTGCATGATGTAACTCAAATTTCTATTCTAATAGTTTCTTTT